CCCCCAAGGCGTCGCTGCCCAGAACACCAACTTCGACACCTTCACCGCTGTGTGATCTGCAGATCTCTTTCAAGGAAATTCGCGTTTCAGATCCGCTTGTGCGTATTTACATCGAATCTCTTATAACATGCATTTGTCCTTTTTCGAAAATTTGGTAATTTTAAAAAAAAATTAGCCAGTTTTTGGAAATCTTTTTGTAAATTTTCAAAACATTTAATTTTTGGAGATATTTTGTCAATTTTAGACTTTCTTTAATTTTTATCAAAATTCTGGAAATTCTTGTATTTTATTTGAATTTTGTCAATTTTGGAAATTTTTCGTAATATTTAGAAATGTTGAAAAAATTTACAAAGTCTGACAATTTTCTAAAATTGTTATATTTTATATATGCATGTTTATTTCTTTCAGTTCGTATCCATAAACGTGTATAAGAAACATACGAATACCATTCACATTTCTTTTGCCTTGGCCTTGGCCTTGATCAGGATAATTAGTGTCACTGAAAGAAAACAAAATTTGAAGTCGTCCTTTACTCCGCTTTGCTCGTGTTATTATTTCACTGATGTGACCACAGTTGATCGAAGTGCCTCAGGCCATTTCTGCATCAGAGTTATCCGAGGTGGTTGTTACTCAACAGCGCCTTTTGAAACTGACCACTATTCAGAAGTGGCTTGCAGGTTGCCTTCCCGCGCAGGGTGAGTGGCTCATTCCTAGAAGCGACAGTCTTCATCCGTGTCGAATGTATAGTTTATGTTTCAAAAAAATGAGTTCGGCTTTCGCCGGAAATAGCCGAATTCTCGTTCTAGAATTCCGACTGATTCGTGCTTCTGTGCGCCGGGTCTTGAAGAATTCTTTCTTATGTTTCTATAAACATGTAAGCAATGCCCTCAGACACGGACACCGAATGTTTCTTAAGGCTTTGACCGGGATGTTCTTTTGTTAAATCTTATGTGGTACCGCCTGATTCGACTTCTAATGGTTAAGTGAAGTGTTTTCTTCGCGGTACGGTCTGGATTCGTAAATATTATGAAGACGAGCTTCGGCTTCAAAGGGTTAACCAGCTTATTTTCGTAATGGTGAGGTGTAGTGTTTTCTTCGCGGTACGGACTGAATTCATAAATAATATTCAGACGATCTTCGGCTTCTAAAGAACCTGCTCTTCCAACACCTCGCGGATCTGAGCCCAGTTTCCTATCGTCAAACACTTCAGAGAAGAGACTGGGTACAGTTTGCTGGTTCATTTCGATGTAGTGTGTGCCGGCCTCAATTTCACAGACTTCTTTTAAGTGTAACTGCATAACCGTAATTCAAATTTTAAAAATTCCGAAATTTAAATTGTAGTTCGCACTTCCACATGCTGAAATTCTCGCTCCTTCGTCTTCATGTTTTTGTCATCACACGCGTTCCTCAGTGATTTACATTTGGTTCATTTACAATACTGACGTTTACAAAATGCCAACGAAAACAATTTACATGTTTTGTTTTTTTTATTATTTATTTACTAACATTCGTTATCTCTCTGACAGAATTCAGATTAGATTTAATATTTCCACTGTCGGCAGTGACAAATCATGTCCTTGTACATTTCCCAGTTTTGTCCCCCGCACTGTTGCTGGTTTACCTATTTTCTTTCGTCAGCTGTGCGTTTGTCCGTCATTATTATTACAATACTTTTAAAACTTTTTAATATATGATTATATAACGCTGAAAAATTAAAATTAACAGTCAACATAAAAATCGAAGATGTTATATCTGCACCGCAGAAATGTATTATCGTGCACAGTAAACGGAGCTGTTGTTAGTCCGCTTAGTTGTATCTCTGGTTAGGTTAGGTTATTTCAAAACGCAGTTGTTAAAACACTGAAAACACCTGACGCCTTTAAATTGTATGCTGATTGATTTTACTCGTATGAAGTATTTAGTATTTATACTTGTAAATGGTACGAGTAAACTGGTGACAATATTTTTTTTTTAATTTGAGAGTTGATATAAAGAACATTTTAAAGACATTGGTGGCAAATCCAAATACGCGAAACACAGGCTAGATACAAATTGTGAACACGGATCAACAGATAACAGGCTATCACGAAAGTTTTCTTTTCAATCGCAGAAAGGACATAAGGTCTGAAACTATTGGCATCTGTAGACTAGACCAGTGGTATTCAACCTGGGGTACGAGAGGTTACGTGAAATTTTAAAAAAAAATATATTATTTTATGATAAACACTGAATAATTAGTAATGTAATTTATTTAATTTATTTTAGAGTAGATTATGTATAACTTGGATTATACACCAACAACTTTGGGGGTACAGAGTTGAAGAGAAATTATATCTGGGGGTACGCGAAGATATCTTTGGGGGTACGTGAAATTTTTTAAAAAAGATGTTATTTTATGATAAACACTGAATAATTAGTAATGTAATTTATTTAATTTATTTTAGAGTAGATTATGTATAACTTGGATTATACACCAACAACTTTGGGGGTACAGAGTTGAAGAGAAATTATATCTGGGGGTACGCGAAGATATCTTTGGGGGTACGTGAAATTTTAAAAAAAAAATGTTATTTTATGATAAACACTGAATAATTAGTAATGTAATTTATTTAATTTATTTTAGAGTAGATTATGTATAACTTGGTTTATACACCAACAACTTTGGGGGTACAAAGTTGAAGAGAAATTATATCTGGGGGTACGCGAACAAAAAAGGTTGAATACCACTGGACTAGACCATTGTAAGTACTTCCTGTCACAGTGGCCGCTCTCTCGCTCAGACTCTGGGATCGTGGGTTCGAATTCCACTCAAGGCATGGATGTTTATCCGCGTATTTCTATGTTGTGTTGTCCTTGTACAGGTAGAGGCTGATCATTCATGCAAGGAGTCCTACCAAATTTCTAATGTGTGAGGAGGCCAAGGACCTTCAAGGACTTTAGAGCCACTGATGATAATTCTCTAAGAATGGACAAGGGAATAGTGAACGAACAGAACGTCGTACGCCATAGACCACCAGCTGGCGAGATAATTTTAGTAGAGTTTCGTAAACATCGGTGTTGAAAGTGAACCTAATGAATCGGACTGTAAAATTTAAGTGTTGCAGTCGGACGTGCGATCTGTAATTTGAATCTTTAGATGATTAGAATTTTAATTAAGGTGCTTCATTAACAGGAACAGACCTTACAAATGTAAAACTGAACGGAAACATCCATTCCAGTACAATGACACAGCCTTTTCTGAAGATATTCTTCGCCGTGTTATTCGGTGAGAACACATTTTTGGAAAACTAGTAGTCGCTCAGCTGGTGATGAAAATCTTCGCCTTTCATAACAGTCCGTCACTGGACCCCACCCTTAGAAGATCGAGTTGAGTCACCCTCACATCCTACTTTTCTAGGATCCGTTTAAATATTATTCTCCCACCTTCGACTAAATCGCCCACGCGGTCTCCTTCCTGCATTTTTAATTCAAAATCCTTTCCTCCATGCGTGCTGCATCCTGACATACTTAACTATTTGTGAGGTGTGACGCAGTGTAGTGTTGTAGTTGGAAACGGGTTGAGCCCTGAAGATGGAGGCGAAACATTCTTTCGAAACGTTGCAGTCAATTATAAGACTTCACGGCGTCACAGCCCTGAAGACCACAAGTTAAATCTGAGCCGCGGTGAGAAATTCAGATGAGGTATGAATTTATTATCGGAATGTTCCTTTACCGCAAGTCATCGAAGTGTCGCTCGTAATTAATCATCATCAAGAAATACTTATGTAAGGACACTTGTATTTTTTTCTGTATTCTATTAATCCGTTACAGATAATTATTAAGTATTGCCAATGTAAACAACTACGTACAAAATATTTTCCTGCAACTTTTTATGATAGTGACCTCCACGTGCAAATCATGGTCAGCGGTGTGGATTCCGACGTCATCCATCATATACTGATCACATGGTCTGTATCTGTGAGATACTTTCGTTCTGTGATTCCTCTTCCGACGTATAGTTGGTTGCCTATCCTTGCCAAAATCGCCCTCCATCAGCGATGAGAAGTGTTCTTCGAGGGTTTGCAGAAGTTATTTTGGTAGATGTTAAGAGCGTGTTGCTTGCAAGACTTCGGGTCCCTTTATCTCTCTGTTTCTGTTGCAGGAAATGCATCGAGACACAGGGCAACTTGTTCACCGACAACGCGTCGTGTGTACCTGGTGGCGAGATTTAATCCTCCGCTCAGCACCTGTGAGTAAGCCATTGTAAAGTTTCTCTTTTGCTCGGCACAAAGCGACGACGCTTACAGAGAACGCTCGGTGTGTGGTAGGGTTGTTGGTTTCCTCACCTCTCACCATAGCAGTCGGCAAGGTGTCCTTAATCTTGTTTGCCGAATGAGAACGTGGATCCAGACAGGAAGACCGCGCGTGCCATCCGAAGATAACGCCACTATAACACTGAATAGCGACAATTTTACTCCCACCTCAGACGTTCGCATAGTCACCATGTCGACATCTTTCAAGACGTGGTTATAGGAAATTTGGCGATCATCTTCCGTGTCGTAAAAACAATCAGTTGATAGGAAATGACAGTATGTGGGCACAAACACGCGATTAACCATACTCGAGGACACCGTTACAAAAATCATCTTTCTGAAATAAGACTAGTTAAAGTATTGTTGGTTTCTTCTGTTAATTATGTTCACGTAACTGTGCCCTTTTCAAGTTTTCTCCATTAAACCACCTTACACGGCTGGTAGCCCGATAAGAATTCATTATAAGTCTGAAAATTGTTTCGGTAAAATTGCTTTAAAATACTCACTTAAATATTTTGTTTGCTCTTGCTTACGTAATCTAGGCGAATGGAGATAGAGCATCTTAAAATAAGCTACGACTGCTCGCTGTCCGTTTATTATCTCTATCGATACTGAACAAAAATGCTTTTCAACGTTCAACTGTCAGAATTTTGGCGTATTTTTTTGTTTTGAACAAAAAGTTTTAAGTTTCAGCCGAAACGTCCGCCCTTCCGGCATCCTAATCGACGGAATTGATGAAAACCGGCAGAAACAAAAATGGGGGGGGGGAAATTCCCCCCCCCCCCAGATGTTGACAGCACGCCTTACCACTGTACACACGATGTCATATTTAACCAATATAATGTTTCTTAAATATTAACATTCGTCCATAATATTTGAGATTAGCACTAGGCAATTACGTCATCCACACTAGGAAAGGCAGTGAACGTACTGGGCTCCAACTGAGAACACCACAGAATAAACATTGCTTTCTTTTATTGTTATTCGTATGTCTTTCACAGGAACTTAAATATTTGTTTTCGTAATGGATTACTCTGAATCCTAGGAACTGTATTTTAAGCAAAGAAGCTGTCTTTTCCTCTCGTACATGTTGCAGCAATGTCAAGAATTTTCGTCTGCAAAAGTTACCTCTTGTCTTCAGATGGCGCCAGTTCTCTCAGCTTTATCTGTAATCGGATTATATTCCTGTCATTTGCCCAGTGGCACAATTTGCGTAATCATTGATACGATTATCTGCTGTGTCTTTAACCAACCGGTTCAGAAGTCCTTGGAGCGTAAAAACCAACCCGCCACTGAATCCTATTCCGAACCAGTCCACACCCACACAGCGTATTTTTAATATCCCGTAGAGAACGATTTCTAAGCTCCATCGTAAATTAAACATTGAGCACGTAATGTTTTGTGTCTGTCCCTTGAATCTGCGTGTAACCAAACAGCAGTGACTTTCAATTAAGCACGTTCTTATGACTCGTTAAATATCGTTCTCTAATTTTTGTAAAGTCGTAAAAGTCAGTAGTTTTATAAATTTGTAGCTGTTGTGGGAAGATATTTTGAATTAAACACAAATTCCATTTACACAACTGTTTTCAGTACTTAATGTTGTGGCCACGTTTAGTACGACATCTTAAGGCGATAATCTTGTTATCTAAAACCGAACTGTACACAAACTTGTTTTGTGTAGAATCACAGAGAAAAAATAAGATAAATGACACACAACATAGATGATAATAATACAGCAAAGCGTCAATTATCCTGGACCCAATTAGACGTGATATCAGATTGTATCTGATATGTTAAAAAAAATAATAATCACGGGATTTCTGATTAAACGGCTTTAAGAAAGAATTTTTAGTGCCTTTATCAATGTTTTTCAGCATGAATACGTATCTTTGTATGTACAAATATGTATTAAATGTTGCCTCAAATAGCTATAACTCTGCTAGAGTTAGGTTTCTCACGTAAAATTTTGTAGATTCTTCGTTTGTATGACGTGGAAGGTCAGGTCAGCGGTAATTTTTGATACGAGGTGCGATCGGAAAGTTTCCAGACTGTGTCAATAGAGGGCGAGGACCAGAAGCAGAATCGACTTGTCGTTTGTCAGGAGCTCAAAGATCTTGCAAGAACCGACCCCAACTTCCTTTCTAAGCTCCGTCTGACTTCTTCCTCTTCCCAAAGATGAAAATTCAGCTAAAGGGAAGGAGATTTGAGACGATAGAAGAGATTCAGGCAGAATCGCAGATGGTGCTTGACAGGCTGACAAAGAATGATTTCCAGGCTTTGCAGCGGCGCTGGGATCGTTGTGTTCACTCCCAGGGGAACTACTTCGAGGGTGATGGATAAATTTAATACCTGAGATAAGTATACGGGTTTTTTTTTTATAGGCGCAGTCTGGAAACTTTCTGATCGCACCTCGTACACATTATATAACTTAACGTAATTGGTGATTCTACTTGGCTGATAAGGGTGGGAACATATTTTTTTGCCAGAGACATTTGTTGCGACCTACAAACAGCTACGTGTTGACACTGCAGATGGTGTTTCAACGTTCTCCATCTGTTCAAGAACATGCCCGGGATTAACTGCGTCTACAAAAAGGCGACGAATGGTTTTCTGTTCCCGTTGGTCGTTCTTAGGACGTCTTCGAGGAAGGCGGAACTAACTTCTGTCATTGGCACTTAAGTTCTTGTCGGATTTTGAGGAACTGTTTAGGATTAGGGGCATTCCGGACCCATACACGTTATTAACAATACAGTGACGTACTAAATAAAATCTTCGGAGATGCTCTTACAGGAGTCTGTGCCTATTGTTTCATTTTGTAGCCGTTTTCGTCGGAAGGCAGCACTGCATAAGGTTCTCCGGTGATTTCTGTAAGGTTCTATATATATAGTCTTTTATAGGAATGAATGGTAGGCCTTATAAGCCTACCTAGAGATTAGAAATTAAAAACATACACAAATTAGAAACTTCTCCAAAAAAATGTGTTCGTGACGAAATTAAAGCCAGACTAAATTTCTAATCATTCAATTGAGAATCGATTGTCTTGCTCACTTTAATTCGAAATTTCCAAATTCAAAAACTTAACTTTACCTGTAATGTAATACGGCAGTGAAATTTGGTCTGTTGCGTTGATGTAAGGAAAAGAAACATGTTATTTAGACAGTTTAGAAAGCAAAATATGTTGCAAACAACCAACCAGAACACTCACTGTTTTGATAAATTATAAAGCAGGACATGACATCAACATGATGTCAAGAGCCTATTAGAAAAGTGCTCTTTTGATCAAGGTTGGCAGGATCTGATTCCTGTGAACAGCCGCTGCTTGTGATGTCTCCTTGTCAGCGTTTTGTCTCGTCCTGTGTCCTGTGTTCGATTTCTGTAGTTCACTTCAGACAGTTAACCTGTTTTGTTTTCTTTTAAGTTGGGCCTGTGTGTCTTCCAGGAACTCCTACTAGATGTGTAAAATTATCAATTGTCAGAAGTTCAGTGCCTTGTTCTTAAACGCTAATGGAGATTGTTGTAGATGTGTAAAATTATCAATTGTCAGAGGTTCAGGGCGTTGTTCTTAAACGCTAATGGTGATTCTTTCCGAATATCTTCGAAATCGTTCCTGTTTCTCGAAAGCTGCTTTTTTTTTTTAATTCTGAAGCAATTTGCTGAATCCTCACACTCACAGCGCACCCCAAATTCTTCTTTGTATCTCTCTCTCTCTTATCTTCCGTTCCTCGTGCGCTGTCTTTCTTTCCGCAGTAGAGTCGTCCATGCAAGATCTTCCTGGTACAGCCTTTACAGTCCCTGAGATACGCCAATGTGTGATTTAAAAGTTCCGTCGAAGAAAATTGTTGTCCTCAAACCAGTAAATAATACAACTATTAGTGGCTTAAATAAATTTAATAAAAAATTTTGGTCTTTGTCTCTTGTTTGAAAATTTATTACCCTCGATAAATCTTAACATCCTTCCGGCTTTTACAGCCGAACAACACCGACGTCTTTTGTTTTATATTCTTCACCTTGTTTGAAAATATTACACGGCGAGAGTAACCAAACAGCCAGCAGCGACCTTTTGCCTTTGAGTGCTTAAGACCGTGTGTGAAGAAGTCCTTTTTGTTTCTTTTAATGCCGGTCGTTAACAAGTCCACACGCTGAACACCGCTCGGCATTGCAAGTTAATAGTTTTATTTATTGTGTTATCTGTTTCAAGTTCTTCGATAGATTCCCCCACCTCCAACGCCAGTCGTATTTCATGCCTGAGAGCTCCGGACAAACTGTGGAACCCAGCGCTTGTAGCACGCCACGAATTTATAAGAATTTAAAATTTAGTTATTCAACGATGGACCATAACTTCAGGAATACATATGAAATTAAAATTATATCTTTACTTAATTAATAGACGTATAGGAGAGTGAAGGTACAGTTCCAGATATTCTTAGCGACGACATTAGATGGAGGTGAGAGTTTTTAAGTTCCGATCGCCTTGTCCTGGAGAAGGAGTCCCGGCGTCGATCGGATAGGAATCGAGCTGAGTGTTGGGCCTCAGATCCGGCGAAGATAAAAATTTCCGGCCGGAAGTCGCAATTCTGTCACTCAGACGGACTGAGTTATTCCGGCCTTCGATAATAGAATTTCAGAGATATTTTGAAGGAAGTCCTGCCTTGTAGTTAATCCAGAATCAATTCTGAAAACCGCAAGAAATTTGAGGTACACAACGGTACACAAAATACAGTGCTGCCACGCTGACGTGTTCTTCCTCATGAAATAACTTTTATCATCACTCGGCATGTTCATTGAAAGAGACCACATTTCTGGGCGTGCAGTTGGTTTCCGCGTCACGACAAAGCGCCTTCTCACGCGGACTTCGGGCAAAACTTTAGTTTCTGTGGCCGCGTGGGTCTCCTGTTTTCGAAACTCCTTCAACGGATCTCATTTTTAATCACCTGAA